TGAACCTCAGAACAGAAGCTGTCTGCATACTATACGCTGCAGTGAACATAGATAGCAAATGTTCCAGTATTTAGCTAGTACCAAGCACTGTGGTTACTTCCAGCTCTAGTTTTCCTGTGTCATTGGTTCACCACCATTAATACTGAGCATCATTCTATGCAATTACTACTACGCATCATACACTAAGCAACAGATCTTCAGCAAAGATACTTAAATATAAAAACGTACCTATGTAACAGATTTAGTACCATCTGCTTTTCCTTTTACACCTGTTGACTGCTGAGTTTCAAATAATTAAGACAAGAGTTTCTGCAAACATTTGAGGACTAGCCTGAACTTCTGAACACCACAAAAAGCCCTTATCTGCAATATGACTGTGTGTTCCTCCTGCTTTTTACTCTAAAATTATGCATATGGAATCAGAAAACATCGAAAATATTTTCAATATTTTGAAAATCTGAAAATCCCTAACCCATTGTTGATTAAATGTCTGCTAAAGTGAGTTCAATGAAGAAAAGATATGTTACAATTCTCTCTCAGATGTAAACAAGAGAAACTAAATACTACTATAAAAATGATTAAGTACCTGCAGACTTTGGATCTTCCATTCTTTGCCTGATCTGAGAAGTCAAGCTCTGGATCAAAGAATAGACCTTGTCACATGTCTTTACAGGATTTTTAATAACCTGCATTGATTTTATCAACGAGATGCTTCCAGATGGAGTAAGCTGCAATTTGAAATAAACACAGAATTATAGAAACAAACTGACTAGACTTGAAAGAACTGGGGGCATGAGATGGAATATATGAAAGGTTACAAGTACTGGAGAAAAAGCATTCAAGCAGGTTGCTATTAATTTTTGAAACCATTTCTCAATTATCTACTCCCTTTGCAGCATTAAAAAAATAAAATATATCAAAAAGTAATAGGATTTACTAGAGATTCAAAGGTGACAAGAAATTCATAGGGCAGCTAATTCTATACATTATAAATGTGAGCAGTTGCAGGAGTTCCTAAAACTCTTTTTTTGTTCCAAGAAAGTTGGAAAGACGTTTAAAACTTTGTACTTAGCAACTTTCGATAACTTACTTTTAACTAACTATTGTATTCAAAAGGTTACAAAAAATTCTGTAAGGAATGTTATCATTAGGCTATGTGCCTCATGAAATACTTTTTGTTCTATGAAGTACCCTCCCTAGCATAACTGAAAGGAAGAACCAGATGTGCAATAGTAACTGATATCTGAAAAAAAGTTTGTCTCTTCAAATTTTAGGTTTTTGTTCCTATAGGACTGCAGCACACAAACGCAACCAAAGAGAAACTCTTTAAGTGCACATATATCAAGACCAAAGATGTCCTTCAGAGCTGACTTAATTATAGAATTGTAGAAGCTACAAATTATCACCATCGAGTGTCACTAAAACAATAGTCAATATCCATGTAAGTCAGGCTTAGCCTCATTTTTTCAGAAAAGTCTGCATAATCCAAAGTAGGCAAACAATGATATTAAACAATAATTTATATACATAACACACACATATATTAGCAATTTTCCTGGTTTCCTCAAATGCATAGGATAATTTGGGTATGGGAAACTTCTGCCCTCTACCTAATAGCAAGCAGTTCCTACCTCTGTATTATGACCAAATGAATCAATAGGAAAGGTGCTCTGGCACAGACAAAAACCAACATACTGTTTTCCCAAATCGCACGCAAGTTAAAAAAACAAACAAAATAAAACCCCAAAAAGTTATTATTACTTTATTATCCCAAAGTTTTGTTACTTTCAGTGACTGTCTTAGAAGACTGTGGTCTATTAGTTCCAGCCACCTTCAAAATCCCATTATATCAATACAGCAAAAAGAATGGGGAATATAAATGAATCATTGAGACCTTACAGCCTGTCACTTTTTCCAAGTACTGCTGGCAGTGGTTTGGATGATAGTTTTAATTTATATATTTAAACGAATCCACGTAGAGTATGCACATAGAGTATACATGCAGGGTAGTAAAATTATATTTCAATAATTTGCTCTCAATACCTTTTAGAAAATAGCAGCTTAAGCTTAAGCCTCACTTGAGGACTTGTATTTAGTTGTTATAGCAGACAGAGTAAGGGCAATTGAAAGAGAAAAAAAGTTTCACAACAATAACAAACAGTACTTGCATTTAAAACCAGGAATAATCATGTGTGTTCTGTACTAAGCATAAACTATATTAATATGCACTAATTCAGCATGTTAATAAGAAATTCCTTTTCACTGATTAAAAAGTATTCTACTGGTTTTCAGCATCTTTGTATTCTTAGAGTTAAAAAAAAAGGCCTTGTAGCAGACTAAATATTGAAACAACTGCAGTAGGCAGGCAATATATTTTGTAATACCACACGCTGTCAAAGTAAAGCACAGAAAGTATAAACAATAAACAGATACATAAAACCCCTGCTCATTACTTTTACACAAGAATTTGTGTGGCTATTTATTTCATTTCATAGGAAACTAATCATATGCTAACCTTATCGTAGTCATCAGCAGTAAATTCTCTGTCTCTCTGGAGAATTTCATGGAGTCTTGCTTTAACACGATGCTGACAGCTACTTAAAGAATCACTGTCGCTGTCCAACAGGCCATTCATATTAGCACTTTTTACCATCTGGACAAGAATAGGAGTCAGCTCACCCTCTAAGGCCAGTAGTCCCTGAAGCAAATAATACAATTTATCAGGCAAACAGATACAGATGAGAATATAAGAGTATCTTAAAAACCCCCACCCAAAATACTAATTTAAATTTAAGATTGTATCACTTGTCTATGGTTTATCTAAACAGGGACTTGGCAGACAATGCAGATGTTTGCATAGAAATGGCCCCCGACACACTGCCTTTGTGTGCAGGATTGCTACAGTTGGTGCAACAGTGATGATGACATGTCATAGAGCATGATCCCCAGCACTACCTCTAGAGACCCTAGCATCTCAGTGGTGCCAACATTGCTCCTGGGAGGCCACAGCTGTTCAGGTCTTGGGTTGCAGGGAGTGCATGATGCTTTCTCCCTGAGGCTAGGAGCAATAGCAGCCTGACTTGTGGGGGACATGCTCTGCTCAAAGCATTGAGTCACCAGACAGTAGCTGTGGGCAGAGTCAGCAAACAGAATAGCATCTGGGAAGACAAATGGGAGATAAGATAGGGTCTTTGCAGAGACCCTACAGAGACAAACCCACAAATCCTGTGTGGCACAGGGCAATCAAAGGCTACAGTTGAAGAAAAGGTGAAGGAAGACTTCTAAAATGGAGAAGGCTGGAAACTTCTGTGACTTATCTGCCAACAGAAGGGCTCTGGGATAAGGAAGGAAATGGGGTGGTGTCTCCTAAAGCCTGTTGACCATGGCTGAAATACTTCTGCACCAGCACATGCAGCATGGAAGCACAGGAGTAATAAGAAGTCTGAACATCTGCAGGTTTTTAAGTTTATTAAGATTAGAGTGATGTGGCGGAATAGTTCACACGAATGGAGGTTTGCTATAGCTAAATACAAGGCCTTTTGGAAGCCAGGAAGGCAGCGTCGGACTCTATAAAAAGTAGTAGCTTGAACATTAGGACCTTTGCTTTCAAACCAATAGCAAGCAAGTTGAGATCTTATTTTTAAGGATCAGAGGACAAATAAGCGCAGGGCAACATCACGGTGGGCCTCTGCTACACACCACCTGATTTAAAAGGGTAAATAGATGAAGCATTCTTAACACAACTGGAAAAAGTCTCCTGATCGCAGGCCCTGATTTCCATGGAGGCCCTTAGGCCTGGGTACTTCATACATGGGCAATATTGCACGGACAAACAATCCAGATTTCTGGAAAACACCCAGGACAATTCTTTGACACAAGTTACTGATGAACTATTGAGCAGAGGCATTCCCCTGGACCTGTTACTCAGAAGTGTCAGGAATGTGGAGGTCAATGGCAGCATTGGTAATTGAAACCTGGTATTATGATGGATACATGGAGAAGTGAACAAGACAAACAATTGCATTAGAGCCCTGGACTTCAAATCTTGTTCACAGAATCCTACAGAGGAGTGTCTTGAAGGACAAAGGAGCCCAGGACAGCTGGATGTTCTCCAAAAACAACCTCCTCAAAGCACAAGAGCACTCCACTCTAACATTTGGAAATTCATACAGAAGGTAGAAGCTGGGATGGGCTACATGAGAGGAACAGAGACATGACCTGAAAATTAGGGGTGGAATTAAAAACCTGGAGAGGCTGTGGAATCTCCATTCCTGGAGATACTCAGAACTCGTCTGGACATGATTCTGAGTAACCTCATCCAGATGGTCTCTGTGCTGTATGGAGTTGGACTAGGTGACCTACAGAGGCCCCCTGAAAACAAATCTTCTTGATCACTTTGTATTAACACTGAAATTCATTCACCTAAGAGTAACACTTGCACTGTTTGTGTCCACTCACACGATGAAAATATCTGTATCACTGAAATGAGGAAACAAGTGAATAAATTATTACCAAGCGGAAATATTATACATGCAAAGGGCTACTTGGGAAGAGGAGCAAAAGAGGAATTTGCCTAGCATGAAAAGGGTTAAAAGAATACTTTGGCAAGCACTATAAATGCAGAAAGTTCTGAATTCTGTGTTTTATATTAATAGTTTCTATAAATTCAGTTTGTACAGAAAAGAAGTGTTCATGCTTTTTAAATGTCACCGCAAAATTTTCATAATTCCATGTCAAAAATAGATGTAAAAATTTTTTTCTATAAAATGACAAGATGCTACCATGTCTTACTTATTAGGTATCCATTTTGAAAGACTGTCCTCGTTTCCAAAGTAAAAAGTCTCCTGTAACAACTTTAAGAAACTACTTTTATTAATTCCAAAAAAACCATGCATGTATAGTCTGTACAATTTCCCATTAAAATACATGCAAAGCAGTTTATTAATTCCACATTTCCAATAGCTTCAAACCCTCTAATTTCCTCTATAAAGTTACAAATCAATGAACAAAATATGGTTTTAATTAAAAGAGTTGCCTTTTGAACTCCAAATCTTCTGGTCTAAATGACTGAAGTGACTGAAAATTGCAATTTTTGCTCATGTAAAATGAATACATTACCTCAAATCACTTCTAACATCTGTGCTTTAACCAACACACATACACAATCTGTCACAGAAATGTGACAAAATTTGAGGAAATTAGGCCCTAAACAAATAAGAAAGGTGCAAACTAAAAATGTTGCCAATGGTACCCTGGGCTGCATCCAAAGAAGCGTGGCCAGCAGGTTGAGGGAGATGATCCTACCCCTCTACTCCACTCTGGTAAGATCCCCCCAGGATTACTGCATCCAGCTCTGGGCAGGCGGGTTGAAACTAGATGATCTTTAAGGTCCCTTCTAACCAAAACCATTCTACGATTCTATGATTTTGGAGGTTATTACTGGAAAGGACTAAGGTATATTGCTAGGGCTGTATAATTAAAACCTGTCTGCATTTACTCAAAGAACATCAAATGCTTGGCACATTAATTGGATACTTTTTCACATTGAACTAAATACGCTTTGAAAATACATTTCTTTTAAAAAACACAGCCTCATTATACACTGTGGACTCTAATAAATTGTAAAGCTCCCCCAGTCTTCAAAGGCAAAACCAAACCTGGAACATTAGAATTTTTAAAATTGAAAATACAATTTCACACTGTACCTTTGCAAAAGCTGCTGCAGTCATCTGAACTCGTCCCTCATCAGAAGCGTAGATTTTGAGATCATGTCGGTAAGTGCTATGTAATCTAAGTAAACCGCATCCAGGAAATCCAGCATAATCTCCTACCAAACAAACAATTTGTTCAAACTTTCATTTTGCACTGGATTATCTTCAAAAGCGATTTATGTCATTCAACACTTTTTTTTTTTTTACCTTGTCCACCTGGATACATACACCTGAAAGCCCTTCCAAGCTCCTCTGCTTGAACCCTGCCTGCAGGGGTCAATTCTCCTCCCCATTTAAGAACCAGAAGCAGGGATGGCTCATTTCTTCTATTATCTAATTGTACACAGAGAGAGGAGTTTAGTAGCGAAATATATTATAATTTGTTTTTGCAAAAATATTTGGACTATGCAGCGCTTCAGTAAAGGATCTCTTCAACACTATGACTCTTTAATATCATTCTAACATTAAGAAAATATTGAACTGGAGAACTAAACGGGCACTTAAACAAAGAAACCTGAAGTAGTTAAATTACAGAGAAAACACAAGTGAAAATATTTACCATGGAATCTGAAGCAAAAAGTAAATTGAGACAGAAAAATTAAAACAAGCTGGATGCTACGGTTATTTCAGTCAATAACCACGGGTCAAGAACCAAAAAAGCTTATAAAGTTTTAAAGATAGCCGTAAATGTTGAGTGGGATTTTCCCATCTTGGCCCCTTTAATGAATCAACGAAGCTTCTTTTTATCCTACTTTTCTGCTACAAAAAAGCAGTGTTACAATAGAAATTTACTACACAGTTTTAGGCGTGTGATTCAGCAGATTAAGACTCTGAATATCTGCCAACAATACAAACATTAATTCAAAACAACATATTCCTCCTTCAAGACATGTTATACCATTAGTCTGTGACTATTTAAACACACATGATTTGTGTGTTTAAGTGCAAGTGATTAAGTGATTAGTAAAAGTAATACAATACCTTCCTCTTCACTGGAAGTCTTTGGGCAACCATGAGGAAGATACGTTAACTGAACTTTGCGATTTATGCCTGAAAAATGCCCATACCTGAAGTAGGAAAAGGGGAAAGTGAGAGGGGAAGAGGGAGAGAAACATTTTAAATATTTTCCTCCAAACCTGCTATGATCCTGTAACAGGATATAATAAATCTATGCTGGTCATTGATTTGTGCATTTGACCACCATTTATTGAAACAGTGCTTAGAACAAACCTAACTCAACAAGCACAGAATGACTACAGGAATATCAACCATTTTATAATGAAACATTTAAAAATACTATCTACTACTGCTTTCACAACATTGACCATAAAACTGGAAGGTAAAAAATGCATTTGCAGATTGCATAAGTAATTAATCTGCTTACATCCACAACTACAGTGGCTGTCAGTATCCAGAATCTAATCTAGCAGTGTAGATGGCCACTATTTTCTTAGCCAATCAAGTTCTCAAGCAGAACTCAGTATTTCAAACAATTGTCATAAATTTCAATAACTGTCTTTGCCTTGATTTTTTAAAATTTAAGTTATCTACTACCATTTAGAGTCCTGAGACTCCACACTTTTAATAAACCTTGAAGGCTTAGAGTTGGTTATGTTTTTCTTTTTTAAATTATTAAATATTTCAGGCTTAATATACAAAGCCTTATTTATTTGGAATCCTCCAAGTTTGCTATAAGAAGACAGTACACATGGTGAAAGTTCTTATTAGCTCCATCAGACTTCATTGTCACGCACTGCAAGAAGCAGGCCCTGCACTCAAATGCTTTAAGTTTAAAAACATGCAAGAAGATAAAATTTGAGATCAAAGGAAGTAATTTTTTCATGTAGAAAGTACACTGAGACACTAGATAAAACAGTAAGTTCAATTAAAAATATAAGGAGAAGAAACAGAGCGATGGCCTAGTTCTCCTTCAGAATCACAGAATCACTAGGTTGGAAAGGACCTTCAAGATCATCAAGTCCAACCATTAATCCAGCACCACCATGTCCCCTAAACCATGTCCTGAAGCGCCACATCCACACGTTTTTTGAACACTTCCAGAGATGGCAACTCCACCACCTCCCTGGGCAGCCTGTTCCAATGCCTAACCACTCTCTCAGTGAAGAAATTTTTCCTAATATCCAATCTAAACCTCCCCTGGCGCAACTTGAGGCCATTTCCTCTTGTCCTATCACTAGTTACTTGGGAGAAGAGACCAACACCCTCGTCTCCACAACCCCCTTTCAGGTAGTTGTAGAGAGCGATAAGGTCTCCCCTCAGCCTCCTCTTCTCCAGACGGAACAACCCCAGTTCCCTCAAACATGACATCCTTTCTCTTAATAACCCTTGTGCTTGAATTAATGTATCATTACATATTTGATAACCATTGAAATCCATGCAGTAACTGGTAAAACAGGTCAAAATAGCAGATACAACTTTGTTGCTATGAAGCCTGAAAATTAGACACTTACATTTCTAACACAGTCTTTAGCTGTTCAAGTTTTGCTTTACTTTCTTCAATTTCAGAATCATTGTTTTGCCCAAGTTCTACAAGGAGTTGCCTTGCTATATCAAGCACTTCCTAAACAAAAGAAACATAGGATTTACTTAAATAAATAGTTTTCTACTTATAAAATACCACAGAAAGAAAATAAAGACAAACTTGCCTGCAACTGTTTTGGTTTTTTCAGTTTTAGTTTTCCAGATTTATATCCATCACATTTTTCAAAGAGATCAAAAAACCTTTACAAGAAAGACATTGATTAAAACACACAGTTAATAAGTTAAAATATTACTTGAACAAGTGGCTCTTAAAGCAGTCTGAAATTAGCGCCTCTACACAATTTGAAAAACATGTTAAAACCTGCATTACAGAGGTCAAACTAACCTTTATCAAACCCCATTTTCAAAAAAGTCTTCAACGTATTAAAGAAATAAGAGCACTAAAAATGTTCTCTTACTGACTTGCTAAGTGTTAAAAAAAAGGGAAGCTATTACATATATCAAATGACATATTATTCGAATAGACAGCTATGTCAACTCTTATCTTCAAGAATGATCCTGAACAGAAGTAGGGACCAAAAATACCAAATGAGCAGTCCTACACATTTACAGTATCTATCTCTGAATGCAAGAATCTAGTCCCAAAGCAAATAATTACTTGTTACTGAAATCGCACCTAATTCAAGGCCAATCATGTGAGGGACTTTACAAGTACTAACATAAAGGTGGTAGCTACCAGAAATTCAGAGTCATCAAACTTTGACAAAAGTAAAAGGCAAAAGTGTGGTGCAGTAAGATGAGAGCTCACATAAGAACAGTTATGATAAAAAGAGAAAGGCAGAAGACATGGTCAAATGGTGAACCAGAAGTATTCTCTGCTGCACTGTTTTGGACAAAGACATCTATAGAGACAAATGCATTTTCATTACGGCCAAGCAGGACTGTTCACAAGGCACAGCATGTGATGAAGGAAGGAAGTCTACACATGTAATTTGACAGTCCGGTTAGAAAGAGAGGTGCATGCTTGTTAATTAGCTGCAACATCAGTTAGATTTAAAAGAAAGCGAATTGACACAAAAAATAACTTGCATGATGCAATTCCTCTCAGGTCATAGCTTGCACATCCCCAAGAAGTGAGGTCTGCTCGAAAGCATCCAACCTAATTTTTACCAAGATTCTACTTACTTCTGATGTTTTACTTCCATTTTCATTTTTTGTTTTGGTGTTCGGTCCCCATGGCGTATTACAGCTATAACACATCTAAGCTCCATCCTGAAATTTCAAGAGTTATATTTCAAAATTCTATATATGACTGTCTTTTATTTAATACTAAAACCACCATGAATCAAGACAACTGACAGAGTTGTAGTTATCTGACATAACTACAGAAGTGATGGAAGCATATGCAAGAATATAAGGTTAACTGAAAATGATGTAAGATATAAAATATAAATATTGATTTTAAGACTTGGGTAACTACAGAATAACTATTTTAAGTAGTTTTTAAAACAACGATTTTGAGGTTCATTAAATGAGAGAGCATGTTTATTAGAAGCGCATATTAAGTTGGTGCTGGAACAATGATTAGCAGTGAAGGAAGCTATGCATAAAAGATGCTACACTTGAAAATCTGCTGTTCTATACTCAGCTTGACTAAGGGTCAGAAACTCTGATTGCTGGCATAGCAATTGTGATTCCTTTCTTGTTTTCATCACACAAAACAAGCGTTCATAGGCCAAAGTGGGCATACCTTGTGAAGAGAAAAAAAAATTCACACAAAAGTTACATTAGAGGTTTGCACAATTCAGGTGCAGCTACTATTTTCTTACATTGTTCCAGAGGTGGTGGGCACAATAGGGATGTCTTCAGCTTCCAAAGGAATTGACCATGGTATCTGAAACTGGGGAGCAAGTTCTCTCATTATGATATTTCTAAAAAAGGGGTTAAAAAGAAAAAAAAACCCACTAAGTTTAAAGCACAGGTTATATAACACATGCAAACTCCAAACCAAACAGATAATATATACATGCATTTTTATCAATGTGGTTTTAGACTATAAGCGGTCATGAGTCTCTAGATGCGTATTTTTCTTTTAATTCTATTAAAAACCTACTTAAACAACAATTTAAAGCTACTACAACTGCTACAGAGACAACATTAGCCTCCTGGCCTTGGATTTGTAAGAAACCTCAGTTTTCAAACTCCAGTTCCTAAAACAGTTCCTGGATATGATTTAGTCTTGTTCATTTAAATATTCAGATACCTGACTCTACTGCCTAACTGGAAGTACCTGATAACCAGCAAGCCATTCTTATCAAAGAGTAACTGGTACCTTTAGTGGCAATTTCTCAAAAGTTTCTGTGATAGAACTGGAAAAATAGGTAAAGTCTCTAGTCATACCTACAAAATGGAGACACTGCCTCCACCTATAGAAGGCCATTAAATTTTGATAATGTTCTGTGTCCCAAGTATTTCATCAAAATATACTGAACTTCAGATTAATATTTACATAAAAAGCAGTAACACTGAGGAAAAAACCTGTGCATCTTAAAGTAGCATCAGCCAAAATATAATTTCCGAAAAGCTCAAAAAAAATTCTCCTATTAACACTGCAATGTATTACCTTAAAGAATAAAGCATAAAGAAAAAATGATGAGATAACTTTTTTCAGAGAATTCAACAGCTACAATTTGAATAAAGAAAAATCAAAATGGGTCTGAGAATTGTAACTCTAACTCAAAAAGTGGCCTAAAACAACAGGACTACAGTTGTTCTCTAGGATTTGAGCTTAGCTCTTCCTCCATTTAATAGGATCCTAGACCATTTGATAATGCATGCTGTATCTCATCAGTGCAATCTTACTGTGAAGGCAGTTCAACTGGCCAAAATAGCGTCAGCCTACTTTGAGCACAACATTTCACTGGCAAAGAGTTCACTACCCAATTCTGTATGATCCCTTGTTATACCTTTTTTTGCTCCCAGCAACAGAAAGAAGATGGTATGACAGAAGACACCTTGATACTACATCAGTTTGGATTTACTAGTATGAAATCCACAAATATACAAGTGTACTGGCTTCAGATCAAGGACAATGTACATTAATTTGGGCACATATTAAACAGCAGCAAGCATAACCATGGTGCTTCTCTACTTGAAAACAATCTCAACTACCTTTAAGAACTTAATCCAGCTTTCAATATATTATTCAGTTAGCTTTAACTGTTCACAAAACACTCAGATTCAGATGTTTTGGATTATTTCAGGAATAATGAATTTATTTATGATTTATTGATTGATTTAGGACTCTTTTTAATATCTTATTATTTAATTTAATGAATGACATTTAATTTTAAATATTTAATTTAGCAGTAAGGAATAAGTAGTACATAAACTACAGTCACATACAACAGAATGAATAGGCAAAACTCCTGAAACAAATCTTACCCCAGTATCTTAGCACAATCATCATAGTATTTCATGGAATTTTTCACAAAACTGAAGCCATTCACATCACAGACATAGGACTGTCCATTAGCACGCAGCAAATCAAAGCCACAAACTGTTTGCTGTTTTTAAGAATAAAAGTTCAAGTCACTGATCACCTTCCTTAGGATTGCTTATTCTAAATAAATTTCACATTTTAACGTGGTATTCCTCTGAAAACATGACAAAAATATGACAGAATTTATACTTAGTACCTTTTGCCAGTTTCATGTTAGGTTTGCTCAGGTCATGCAAACATTTTTCTATTTTTACCTTTATATCCCCAACTTGATTTTACCCTTCCTAGACATAATTAGCAGTATCAGTATTGAAGGTCAAGGTCACATGTGCACTAATTTAACTGTCGAGATTTACAGCATAAGCAATGTTGGACCTACAGACTCCCCATTCTAACAGTGGTTTTCCCCTACACGTAGTTTTTAAGGGTGTCAGGCAAGAAATGACAACACAAATTACACACAGGTAGTGAGACAGACTGAAAGGCAGGCTTGTAATAAGACAGGTGAAGGGTAAGAGACTGAATGAAGTTTTGAACAAAGGAATCTTAAAACTATACAAAAATGGAAACTATCAAACACTTCATATAAAAAAAACCTAGTCATGTCAGTACCAAGTTAACATTTCATTGGGACCAATGTAAACACCAGGTAACAAAAGTAGAAAACATTTAGCTATTGAAATTGTGTTTCACTAACTTAGAAACCATTAACAAAATATTTGAACATCTTATGCATAGAACAGATACGCTATGGACTAGCAAAGCACAATCGCAACATGTGAATTCAGGAAACATGCAACATAAACAACTTTTCGATGTATTAAAGGAAGAATTCTTCTACATTTAAAAAAGATGTGGATGTGGAAGTTCAACTTTTCACCTTCCTAGGAGTTCTGCAGCATTTATCACTGCTGGCTCTGCGCACTAAAACCCTATGGAAGTTTCATGCAATAAACAATTAATTAACACTAAATGTTTGATCAGACAGGAAAGTAATCAGCTTACTTTAAAGGCAAGGCATACTTTCCAAGCAATCAACTTTTCTCTTGCATTCAGGATGACTGGATACCTCACTTCTTTTCCTTCACTATCTCGTTCTACCTTGCCATCCAGAGCTGGAGACTTCCGAGCTTCAGCATGAGCATAGTCTGGACCTACTGTGTACACCTTTATTGAAAAACAGGAACTCTTGATTCAGTGTAATTAAATTACATTACATATATGCATACATCTTGCTAAATTTATCACAAATGTGAAAATGACTTCAAAAGATACTGCTTTCGTCATTGATAAGGTCACTCTAAAGTACCTTCCTCAATGGCATTCTCTGCCTTCAGAGAACACCCAGCATTTACTGACAACCTAGGATAAAGCAAGAGGAGAAAACAGCTGGAGCACAGGTAAAGAAAAACAGTAATTATAAAACTTGATGAATAAAAATTAATTTCTTAATATGGTGGTACAGACATAAAGAACGTTTTCCTCTCCAAAGTATCTGCAGAACTTGGAGAGCAGATTACTTTGTGAATTATTTCAGTTTTCTTGTTTATGATTACTTGATTATTTAGGCAGGACTAAACAAAGCAAAGATCTGCGCAATTTTAGCATGACAAGGCAGGGGTACGAGAGAATGTGCTATCTACTTTGCCACTGTTCCGATGTTCACTGAAAGGATTGGGGCATATGCTAGAAGAGACTTGTCAGCAGCTCTCAAAAATTGGCTACTGTCACTTTAATTAAAACCTCTAAGCTTTGATAAAAAGTATTCAACGAAACCAGACGATTGCAAACACTACCAATTTAATCAGTTCAGGCAAGAGGGCGAGCTGCCTAATACAAAGCTGACAGTCTTGTTACTTGAAGAAATGCATTATTTATTTGGGGTGTTAAAGTTCATACCCTGCTGCTTGATGACTACAGTACAAGTAGTCAAAATAGTCCCCTCAAGTCAGCGGACTTTGCTTCAGGTTGCAAAAAACTTTTCATTTTGGAAACAGTATGTAAAGCTCTTACACAGATGTCTGTAAACTCAGATTAACCTATTGCAAAGTGTTGCACAGTATAACCGTCTGAAGAGTATAGCTCATGAAGACATAGCAACATAAAGAACAGGAAATTTGTCCGAGAACATAAAACGAGAATTCCCCTCATGTATCACCAAGTGGAAGAAGTTGACTGCAATTGATGAAAGGGCTCTTTGGCCTAAGATGGACTACATCTCACATTCTCTAAACCTGCACTTTTTGCCTAAATATGGTGATCTCTCATGCATATTGTAAAACATTTGTTTCACAAGTTTTGTGATGGGCTTAAAATAGCCAGAACTAACACACTGGAAAAGAAACCAAACTCCATATATGGCTGGCTTCACACCTATTCTGTTATTGCTCTAGTTTAGTACTCTTTCATGATACATAATCTTTACATCTGTTAAGCAAATAAATGAAGAAAAGAGTGAAAATAATTACAGATAAGGTCAATGCATTATTTTCTGCAACTTCATAAAATTTTAGTAAATAACTTTTGTATATTAATTAGAATACTAAGATAGCTGGTAAATATTTCAATTACAGATTTCTTTGTAACCTTCAGACAAAATATCTAGGCAGCATCTATCTGTTTACACAGGAAAGTATATGCTGTCCTGGCACTAATACAATACAAAAAAGAAGGACAGCATGTTGGGTAATAAGCCTCCAGCACTTGATTCCAAAAACATAAGCAAAGGTGCTCTACAAGTACTGTGTTCAGCTAGAATAAGAATTACGTTTTTTTACTTACAAACTGTATCAAAACTTCATTAAAATTAATCCTTTACACAAAGATATACTTTCATCTTTAAAAATGGCAAGATCTTGGAGCACTTGATTGTTCTAAATATAAATAAGAATGCGCAGTTGTCATACCTTCACATCAGTGCCATCTGTAGGCATGAATTCCTCATAAATATAGGAGCCTGTTTTTCTTACACTGCTTTCAGGAGAATAAACACTGCTTCTGCTGCCAATCTGAAATGGATATTTTTCTATTAATAAACTCACAGGCTACTGCCTGAGAAAATTCAAAACTCCTTAAAATAACACACTCGTACTGAGAAAACACTTCCCGTACCAAATGAAGCAAGTAGGTTTTGATTGTTCCCAAAAGATCTTTATGAGATTCTAAAAGTGCATTGATAGGGTATGCTTCTTTTACCTAAAAGAATCTGCAGTGGCTGACAATCTACTGCAAGGTAGAAGGGTCTTCATTCAATTTACCCATTCTCCTAAAATTAATTTCTCTGATCTGCCACTACTCCTACACAAGCAGGACATGACAAAACAGGTCCCAGCTAACACACGGACAGGACAGAATTACTCTGCAATTCTCTTAAGACACCTACAACTTTTCAATAGTTTTAGTACAGTACCCTCACCTTTCGAAAGAGTCTCTGGCTTCCACCGCCAGCAGATGTTGGATAATAAATGTAAACATTGTGGTCCTCAGCACTAACTGGCTTTTCTACAAAAGGCTTTTGGAAAATTTCTCCATTCACTTCCACATGATCTTCTCCTTCAATCAAGTTGCATTCTGAAAAAACAGTGTGAACAACAGAGATGCAATAACATATTAATGAAAAGAAATTATTAGAGCTTTGGGGGAATTTTGTAGGTTGAAATAAAAAGATTGTATCACATTTCTGGTTCACTGATTTGTTACTGACTGCTCAAAGACTTGATGACCATGTGCTGAACATGTCTGATATACCACATCTATATTATGTTACTTTAACACTATGTTTGAGGAATTCTGTTGTTTTCCTCAGTGTCAAACAGGAAATCACCTCCTACGGATGTATAAGCATGTCTGCCATATGTCCTCCTGTTTGTCCCTTTCTTCAGTGCCCTTCTCCGAAATATCAGGGGAATGGCAGATGGACAGTGAACATGGTGTGGTCCCAGATGCAGTAGTACTTTTAATAGGCTGAGCACTGTCTCATACTGTGGGATTGATGCACCTTGCACAGAGAATTAGGTCCTCTGGAATCAGGGATCAGGAATCTCTTCGCTATTGGTTGGCTTTATTTGACTTCTGGAGCATAAATGAGTCCTTTTCCCCCTAAATTATGCAGATATTTTAACCTAAAATTTCCTACCTCTTAAGAGCTACACCACAGTAATACTTCAATTTTCTCTTTGGTGATATATTACAATCTCTGCTTGAGTTTGGAGGCCCTTGTATTCTAGTTGTTCTATGGTGGCTGTACGGGGATTGTGACTCCAGGCTTCAGAAACATGATTTTCAGATGCATACTTGTGCTGCCTTTGGCTAAGATGGAGTTAATTTTCTTCACAGCAGCTGG